TGAGCACGGCTTCTCATAAGGACAGAAATAATGATGGGAAAGCAGAACGAAGTTCGCCAGTGCTCCTGTACAGAGGCACGCTGTGCCGTACACCAGTGCTAATCCTTACAGACCAGCCCGTGCCGGTGCCTCGCTGCTGGGCCCAGCCTAACTGCTTTCCATACAATGCTGAAGTCTCTCAGAGGAGTCAAACATGACAATAAAGAACCATCTGTTAAAAATAAGGTGAGATCATAGCCAGGAAACATTCAGTCTCTTGAGTATGCATAAAGACAGGACTTTCTTATTGAAAAGTGAATTTTATAAAAAGACATGAATCCTCCACTAAACAAGGTATTTGCAAAACAATCAGTTTGATATGACGATACCTGTGTTGACTGCACTGCCGTCGCTGCTAAGCTCTACGTCCCCAACGCTCCCGGGCATGGCGCTCTCCCCTTCTTTATCTTCTTTCTCACTGTCCTCATCCTCACCCTCACTACTGCTGTAGTAATACTGGAGCTTCTCACCAAGCAGTTTATCATCCAAAGTGGTCATTATGTTCTAAAAATAAATTAACAAAATAGAGAACATATCTCATTCAAACCTGCAGCGTGAGATACCACTCCAAATGCAAAGTGCAAGTCCTTTGCTTCCTCAGAGCGGTTTTTAGCCACACAAGAACAGTTCCCAGCCCACTATCAAACACCCGACAGCGCGGTCAATCACAGGAGTTAATCCTTAGTCACAATTTCAAACTCACATTAAACATGCTTACGAACAGAACTGCTCTGAGGCTCACTGGTGCAGAAACACTTTGTGTGTGTTCTCATCATGGAGGTGAATTTCCTCACCGTGGTTGAGGAGCCTCATCTGCCTCACTCAGCTCCATGAGGCTGATTTCACAGTTATTGAAATGCCAATTTCCAGTATTAGTTGCATTATTTTAATCATTATTTGAGCTGAACACATATCAATTTAATTAATCAAATTAAAATCTTCTGACCTTTATTCCAGTCTTTCAGAGACAAGCTTCTATCAAAACCTGGAAGAAGAGATTTCATATTATCTTAGTTCAAATTGTCAAAGATAATCTCACTAAAATGTTTGCAGAAATCTGGCACATTTAAATAACACAACACATACAAGGAAAAAAGTTTAAAGAAAATGTAACCATGTTTGCTGATTTAATAAAAAAAAGAAAACTTCTAGGTACTGGGACAGAGCATACAAATGCTCAGTACAGACAGCACTACAATTTCATGAACATCGCTTCCAAGCTGAGAAATAACGTATCAAAAGAAAGATCTTCACGTCAGTTGTCTTTTCACTTGCTGCCGACCACACTGTCACCTTCACGGACGACAACAGCACCCTGTTTGTGTGGGCAGCTCTGAAAGCCAGATGCCAACACCCTGACAAAGTGATTGCACCTATCCTAAAAATCCTTGCTTTTCCCCACGTTAAACATTTTCTTTATCCAGAAGATCTGCTAAACAGAAATTAACAGCAGCAGAATCCCGCCTCTAAAGCTACCGACAGCTTTAGAGCATTTACAGCCTTTGCAAGCCTCTCCCCGCAGCAGAGCTGAAACACCGGGTGGTTCCAAGCGATGGAGAACTGAAGAACCACCCGGCATCTGAAGAGCTGGGGGCTCTCTCCACTGACCCCCTCCGCACCACCCTCACCCGGCCGCAGCGGCAGGATGCCCGAGGATCCCCCCCGGGAGCTGGGCGAGGGGTGCAGAAGCGCGCTGCTGGGGGCGGGCAGGGGCTGCGGACCTGGGATGCATCAATTTAAATGTCCACAGAGCTTCATTAAAAAACAAAAAAAAACAAAAAACAAAAAACCAAACAAAAAAACCCAACCAAAACCTTTTGAAAGCAATCGATTGATTCCGGCTCAGACTTGACTCCGCAGGACCCTACCCCCCAGCGGAGCTCGCACAGAACCGGGCTTCTC